ACCAGGAAAAGGATCAGTGTTTTCCCAAAGTGATCGTTTTTTTGTCCTATGAAGAACCTTTGGGCATCTCCTTAGCTGCAAGCACCATCTTATTTTTCTCAGTCACAGCTGTGGTATTAAAAATATTCCACCTGCACAAAGATAGTCCCATAGTCAAAGCCAACAATCGGGACCTCACCTACGCTCTCCTCATCTCTCTTCTGCTCTGCTTCCTCTCGCCTTTCCTATTCCTTGGTAAGCCCAAGGTACTGACATGCTTCCTCCGGCAACCAGCCTTTGGCATCATCTTCTCACTGGCAGTTTCCTGCGTGTTGGCTAAAACCATCACGGTGGTGGTAGCTTTCATGGTCACCAAGCCAGGATCCAATATGCGGAAGTGGGTGGGGAAGAGGCTCACCACTTTCATCATCCTTTCCAGCTCTTCTGTCCAAGTAGGCATTTGTGCTGTATGGCTAGCAATCTCTCCCCCATTCCCCAAGTTGGATATGGACTCACTGACCACTGAGATAGTAGCAGAGTGTAATGAAGGATCGGTGACTATGTTTTATCTAGTCTTAGGCTACATGGGACTTCTGTCCATCATCAGCTTCAGTGTTGCTTTTCTAGCTCGCAAATTGCCAGATACTTTTAATGAAGCCAAATTCATCACCTTCAGCATGCTGGTCTTCACGAGTGTTTGGTTGTCCTTTGTTCCTACCTACCTGAGCACCAAAGGAAAATACATGGTAGCTGTGGAGATCTTCTCCATCTTGGCTTCCAGTGCTGGGCTTTTGGGATGCATCTTTTTCCCCAAATGTTTCATAATTGTGCTGAAGCCTGAGTTGAACAACAAGGAGAAGGTCATGAGAAGAATTAAAACATAAAATTAGTACCCTGAGAATACCTACCTTGGGACAGATGCAAAGGACTTTATGTATCTGCTGATCAAATACTTCAATTTATTGTTCAAATTATTTGTTTGCCCCCCACCTCCCGAATTATATTGAAGATGGTAGAAACCCATATAAATGAAACATGACCAATACGTTTGTGATCTCCATGTGTCTTGAATGGTGTTCAACTATGTCTGTCATTAGTTCCCACTGGAACTAATACGGTTTTACTTTAGCACCATGTATTTTCTGTTAAATTAGTGCCACTTTTTATCATTCTTTTAATATCACTTCTTCTAAAGCCCTTTGATGATAAGCTCAGCCACGAAATTGAGAAACCAAAGATGTAATTTTCCAGGTTGTGCAAGGTTACGTTAGAATACTATTATATGAGTTGATACGTAAAAAAAAAAAATGATAGCAATGGAATGAAATGGTAACAGTATAGACATGGTATAGATGAATTGGGCTTTTGATGACTAAACCCCATAAACCTTTCTTGGAGCAAGTGTTGCCCAAACCTCTTTAGATGATTTATCCTCCTCCTCCACTTCATATATCATCATCATCATCATGAATGAATCCCTCCCAATGAGAAGTGAAACACAAGAAAATCAGGTAGGATCATCCTAATAAATATTTCTCAGAATTATATTCACTCCTGACATTCATCACGAAGAAACGTAGCATGAGATCTTTGCACTATAGACCATG